ATCTCAAATAATAAAAAGTATTTATAGATCAGCTAGTTGCAATCTTGAGAGATCTTCTTTGTGTGCAATCCTAAGACCAAGAGTGTCTGGAATAACCGCTATTGCAACTGCTGTAGCAGTCATTAAGAAAATATGTATAGTGAAAGAAAACTTCTGAGTTGTGTTGCAGTAAATGGTTTGCAGAAAGCTCAGGTTCTTGCTTTTATAAGGCTACAGTGGTATGACGAGCAGCCTGAAGTACTGCACAATAAAAGTTTAAATGTGTTCAGAATTTTCCAGTCTCAAGCTGTTCATTAATTAAAGCAGACAATTTCAGACCTGAAGGAAAAATAGAAGCATAGCCAAAACTTAGCTGGCAGTTGTTTGGTGGTTGAGTGTGCAGGAGGCTTTTTTCAAAAAATTAGTTGTATGCTTACTAGTGTTTGCAAATACCTTACCTTTTTGCTGAAATCCTTTTCTTTTTCTTTTTTTCTTAAGTTTCAAGCCAAAAAATGTGCTTTTTGAAGTCTTCAAAAATACGTATGTTGAAAGAAAACTTCCAAGTTGTGTAGCAGTACATGTCTTGCAGAAAGCTCAGATTCTTGCTTTGATAAGGCTACAGTGGCATGAAGAAGCACGAACCAAAGGAGTTTGCTAGTAGTTGTGTTCTGTCCCTTTTAGGTGATGTGTAGTGCAGCCCAGTTCTGGATGCAGTCTATACAGAGACATGGCAATTAGAAATGAACCGAACTTGTTACTTCAAACCTAGAGAAAGTGAAGGGTATTTGGAAAGCTGTAGAATGTTTGCAAGGTAAATGTGAAGTTCTGTGGAGGTTGTTGGGTTCCAGTAAACCATAGCTTCATTGTAACTCTCTCTTAAAATTTGTTACATAAGGGCCATATTTCTATGTAGAAAATAAGGATAAATCAGTTTTATCTGGCAGACTTCCTGGGTGATGGCATGTCTGTGGATGCCTGTATGCTTAGAAGGAGGGGCTATATCAGTTTCAGTTATGGAGTAGTGGATGTTAGAGGTGAATGGGACAAAAAGGCGAAGCCTCACAATAGATTTTATGGTGATGCATTTATTTTTCAAATACAGTTAAAATATTTGGCTTGAAGCTCTGCAGTGTTTAAAAATAGCATTTACGCAGAACATTTTAACGACAGAGTGCTTCGTGTGATGTTCCTCTTTCCAACCTTCTTTTGGAACAGAAAGAGAAAGTGTTAAAATGTTTAACTAAACTTTTAATTATTTTCCTAAATCAACAAAAGACTTAAAGCCAAAAAACTTGTATTCAAGTTTTCAGTTATGTAAGCCATGCTAAAAAAACTCAATTGACCCCAAACCTGTTGTCCTAAAGGCTGTTTTCGCCCTGCCCCTCCCAAGCTGTTTACAGGAGTAAGCCTGTTTATTGTGACATAAGACGCGGTTTTCCATGCCATGTCCTGCCTGATCTACAACTTCTCTCTTGCTTTGTGGATTACCAGAGGCCCCTCAGTATTCGGTGCTGGAAAACCAGTTATGTGGGCTCTGGGTTTTGATTCATGTTAGGCTTCATTCTATTCATCAGTCAGTGCTGGTCTTCTGTCTAGAGTACCTTCTGGCCTCATGCATCTGGAATGACAAATGGTCTCCTTCAGTAGTTTCTATGTCTTGGTCTATTTCCTTTTCTGAATTCGGTTGAAACAGGAAAGCATCTCTGAGTATGGAGAGGGTTTCCACATTGCGTCCTGCCTGCACACCTCTTACGTATGGTGGCAGTCCACTTGCCCTTATTTGGGGCTGAGTCACCTCATTCTGAAGGACGGGTTCCATTTGTTAAGAAAGCAGTTTAATGCTTCTAAGTAGAATAGTAGTTTTCCTCTTTGTTTAAAAGTGTGGAAAATAGATTTCTTGTGGAGTCTTACAATAACAAATATTCACTAAGGACATGACTCCTTCTCCATGGCCCTCCTAAGTGAACATAACTCTACTCCAGTTTGAGTTTGGTGTCTCTATCACTCATAATTTGGCTGGCAATCCAGTGCTTGAATTTATTTCTTGAGTGCCAAACTTTTTTTGGGGGGGGAAGAATTCAGGAAAGCTGGATGAAAAATCAGCTCACTTTTGGTTGGGTATTTTCTAATATTTGAAATATACCTGCCAAATTTCCTTGTATGTAGATTCTTTCTTTCAAAAAAAAAGGTAAGAATCTCTTTAGACTAATAACTGCTTGAGTTTTATTTTATGCTAATGATTGCTGGCTTTCAAGAAATTGTAACCTACTGTTTTTTTCATAAGAAAAAATAGATTTCTTTTTCTGTATTCCATGAATATTCTTGTATATATTTTGCCAGTTGAAATGGAAGGGAGGTAAACTAGCAAGATTGATGCTTCAAAGGAATCTACAGTTCATCAGGAATACCGGTCAGTTAATTGTTTATAAATGTGTCCCTTTCTTATGCATGTAGAAGAGTTTAAAGTATTCTGTGAGCACTGAAGTCTCTTCTCCCTTCAGCTGCTTATGGAATACTAATGAAAGTAATGTATGTGCATCATGTGGAAAATATGTTGGCAGACAGATACCTGCAGAGCTTTAAATGTTTTGGCATTGTCTTTGTTTAATCAGCGTAGCTGATCCCTACTTCCCCTGGAGGCCTATACTTTCAGAATAAGATCAAAGGTTTATATGAAAATTTAAGCAAAAGTAGAGTTCACCTATTTTAGAGATGAATGAATAGATAAACAGAAGCTTAAAAATAAAACCTCAGGCACTCTGGTCTCTAATATGAAGTGTCTTGTAGGAACAATAATTATGGTAGTTATATATATTTAAAAATCAGACATCAGAGATCTTAACAGAAGAATTTCTTAGAATTAAGTGCCTATCTGATTCAACTTTTGTGATTTGTTTTCATGATGCTTTCTAGAAGAGTGGATATTTTATGCTGTGTCTGTGTGCTTTGCTAAATTAATGAGCTGACTCGGCATTGAAAATACTCTTTGAGGAATGCCAAAAAAAAACCCCACCAACCTCAACCAACCCTCTTAAGCTAAAGTAACAGTTAATATATCCATTACAATTTTTTTGATATTCTGTTTGCCTTTTTGTGGCACTGGTTCTTTCTGTTACCATTTATGCCTGCTTAAAATGGTATAGAGGATATGTTCCATTGAAGGCTGGTTCCAGTAAATGTTTAGTGGATTGGAGGAGAAAGCCTGGGAGTATCAACAGTTAAATTAAAATTACGAAGCAGATGTGGTATCTTATTGCTTAATAGAAAATACATAAATGGAGTAAAGCTTTCAGTAAAACTTCAGGGAAGCTAGGGTATAAAGCAGTTACGTTAAAACAAGGTTATTATGACCAAGGGTACTATTTATCAAAAAATTCTGGCAGCAGTGTTTTCTGAACGTTGGTTGTGCTTCTTCGTCAGAAGTGAATTTTGATCTGTTAATATTTTATCTGTGCTGTATGGCAAAATAATGGTTATTTTGTTAAGAAAGTTTCACAATATTTATCAGTTGTCATATCTTTGCAAGTGGCACCATGCTTTCTGTTTAGTCATCGATTGCTGCTGAAATAGCAGGGACGGGCGCTGCATTTGAAGTTAATGCATTTGGGTCCGATTTGATACACACACGTAAGAAGTGTTAAGAGTGTAGCTGTAATGTCACAGTGACAATGTATTTCTTTTTCCCTGTAATGATGAACTTATGGGGGCACAGTGAGTTATGCAATTTCTAAGAAAACTGCGGGCTTTAATTCTGTATTCTGAAAACTTTGTTTGGATGGACTGGCTTTGGTATACCAGCCCAATGCTTCTCATTTGAGTATAAGACTTAATTAAATAGTAGATAGTCCAGAACATGTGATAGAGTTTTCCACAGGACAAAGTACACAATTTTTTATTAAAAATTATTTGTGCGCCTACGCAGTATATCATGCTTCTGTTCATTACTAGTCATCTCGTTTTTATCAGGTAGAGTTTGTAAGTACCAGAAAGTTGTGCGCTCTTTAAAATAGCAACCTATTTTTTAAAAAAAACTGTCATAGCAGTGTATTTACTTTTAAGTGAAATGTTGAAAGTAACTATACAAAGCTGAAGCAATTACCTTCAGCAACTTTTAAAATAAAATAGGGATTTTTTTTTTTTTTTTCCTGCCTTGGATATAATGAGATGAAAAGGACTCCATATTCCTAAATTCCACAAGACTTAAGTGCAGTTTGGAGTAAGAGAGTTCAACAGCTGAGTTCACGGTTTTCTAAGAAATGCCCCACAAGCTTTTCTCACTTATTTTCTTACTTTTTTACATTTCACAATGGAATTAAGAACAGACATTGGCCATGATTTGAGTTATTCCAGTTTTCTGTGGCCTTTCACTAGTCAGTTCAGTTAAATTTGTATCAAAATTGTATTTAAACAGTTACTTTTACTGTTATTACAATAAGCTCTTCCTTGGTTTTGAGTAAAAAGGAAATATGACCAAGCGTCTCTTGTGTTCTGACTTTTGTGCATGTGTGTGCATCTTGTCAGTAGGAGTCATGTGTTATTAATGCTACACGAGGCTGCTGCTTGTGCTACAAAACAAAGTCACTATAGAGGCAAATCTTAAGGTACTGGATAGTTCCAGTGTCTCTTGAACAGCTTTGCAGCATCGTATTACATCAGGCACTAAATATCATAAGTTTCAGGAGGCACTTAATATTCTTCCAAAATGTGAATTAAGGAACCCTTCCCCCTCACTCTTGCAGTTGGTAGATAATAGTGTTAGCATCTGAAGCTGTGCATACCAGGCAGTAAAATTCTGCCTGAACTACAAAGAGATCTCATGTCTACTTGCCACAGCATGTTTTTGAAGTCTTTTGTGTAATAGCAACTGTTTTAAAAGCCTATTTTGTTGAGGGAAAAAAATACAGTAGATCGTAAAATGAGAAGGGCGGGCTTGTTTCTAATGTGTGTGAGAACATTCAGTGTTACGAATGTTGATAGTAATCCAAGGAAAGAATAATTTGTTTAAAATTTATTTTAGTTCTCCTCGAAAAGATATGGATAAGAAAACAGATGAAGAGCAGCCTTTGACTGCATGTAACCAGTACCCTAAAGAAGCAGTGAGGAAACGTCAGAATTCGGGTCGAGGTTCCAGGGGCAGTGATTCTTCCAGGACCTCCCGGAAAAGCTTCAGGCTGGACTACAGATTAGAAGAAGATGTAACTAAATCAAAGAGAGGCAAAGATGGGAAATTTGTCAATCCGTGGCCAACATGGAAATCACCAACCTTGCCAAATATTTTGAAATGGTCCCTCATGGAAAAGAACAACAGCAATGTGCCATGCTCAAAGCAGGTAAATCCTTGCATGTTTTGTGTTCTTGAGTTAGACTGCTTTTGCCTCTGCTCTAATCAATACAATAGGACAGTTTCTAACTAATACTTATTAGGCGTCTTTCGAGACTTTTCTAAGCGTTATTTTTCTGATTTCTATAATCACTTTATTCTTTTCAAAAGGTGGGTTAGTACTATCTGCCTCTTTTTTTTTTTTTTTTGGCCTTACTCTTAGCTCCACACCCTTTGATTTGTCCAGCTCGGTTTATATTTACAAAACCAACAAAAACAGGCCCCTAGCTCAATCATAAACTACAGTTACATTCTTTCCTTTTTAATAGGTGTTACTTTATGAAGCATACTACTGACATCAGTTGTATTGGATGAAACAGCTGTGGCATATCTAATCTTAAAAAAATTTGCCTTTTTTTTTTTCCCCCCAGACTGCCATTGACTACGTATGTTGTATCTTTTTCATAAAAATTTACTTCCGTAAGTAAATGAGTGCAAATATTTAGTATTTGCAAATCTATGTTTCTCTATTTCAGTGCACCAGGAGAAAAACATGCATATGTTAAATCTAACCTGAGCAAGTAATTGTACTGAAATAGTAAAGGTACAGTGCTAGTTTTCAGGGAAACACCATTATTTGTTCTTGGTGTATTGTTTCTGTCAGATACTGCATATAAAGGAGGTAGGGGAAGCAACCTCTGAAAGAAGCTTCTTTTCCATGAAGAGTAATCATAGAATGGTTAGAGTTGGAAGGGACCTCAAAGATCATCTAGTTCTAACCCCCCTGCCATGGGCAGGGAAACCCTCCACTACACCAGGTTGCCCAAAGCCTCATCCAACCTGACCTTGAACACTTCCAGGGATGGGGCATCTACAGCTTCTCTGGGCAACCTGTTCCACTGCCTCACCACCCTCTGAGTGAAAAATTTCTTCTTTATATCTAATCTAAATCTGCCCTCTTTCAGTTTAAATCCATTGCCCCTTGACCTATCACTACATGCCCTTGGAAAAAGTCCCTCTCCAGCTTTCCTGTAGGCCTCCTTTAAGTACTGGAAGGCTGCTAAAAGATCACCCCGGAGCCTTCTCTTCTCTATGGATACTGGAAAGCCACAGGTTATCTTTGTGGCCACAACAAGTGTTACAATGGCTACAGTTTTGACAGTTAGGATTACTTGTGTGTATTTTCTGATGTGTTGACTGCACTTTGGAGAATATGTGCCAAAGGGTGCGCAACCAGTGAAAGCATTTTTGAACAAATAGATGTTAATAATGCTTTTAAGCATCCAAGAACACATGCATAAGCTATAAATCTCACAGGATTTAGCAAAGAGCTTATACTTTTCAGTTTTATCTTACGTGAATTACCTGTGAAGGAAGGAATTTGATCAGCCTTATGGACAGGAAAGCTGTTTTACTTATTATTGCATGATGGTCAGAGTTTTGGGAATTTCTTTAAGGATACATGGCATGGAACACACTTAAGAGAGAAATAATCTTGGCTGTAATTGTTCTGTAATAATAATAATAATTTGACTTCAGAAAAAAGCACAACAAACCTATTTCAGTCCTGGGATCCCTTCCGACAATTTACTGTTCTAAATGTGGCGTCCTGCTTCCAGACATTATCTGGACCGTGTAGTAGTAGCAACAGCAGTTGTGCCTCGGTGTGCACAGCTTTCTAAGCAGTGTGCTGCATTACGATACTTCGGCCACATTTGTGTAAAATTCACGCCCTGGTGTTTTCAGTTGCCTTTGGCCGCTGGCCTGCTCTTTCTGTGTACAGTAGACTTTGTATCTGGCCAGCACCGGGCAGAAACCTGGTTAGCGACTGAAGTGCAGTGCTCAGGTGTGCTACAGAATGCAGAACATACAGCTCTCTGATGGCAGTGGGGAACTGGAGCACTCCCCTTTAATTTACAGATTATGCCTGCAATAAAAGATGATTACAAAGAAATCTGCACTGTACCAGTTGTAAAGCTGTCTCTCTGATCCAGCTGGGATTCATTTTGGACTAATTTTATTGCTTTGCATATGAAATTTTCTAATTAAGTGCCAGCAATTATTCAGGAGCTTAGTGAAGTAAATCAGAAATAGAAAAACATAGATAGGGATCAATGAAATGCACTTCTTAAGTCCTCAGCCATTTTGATGCTTGTTCCAGCTATGTTTGCTTCACACCTAAATCAACCTGTAAAGCACCTCTGAGCTTGTTTAAAATTCAAAGCAAGGGCTCCATACTTTATGTAGCACTGCCAGATAGCATGTCCTTCCAGCAGACTCCTACTTCAGTTTCCACACTGAGTGTGCCCAGCGATACCCGGCTATGCTGGGTAGGTTCAGTGTATCTGTACCAAGTGCTTTGCATATGTAAAAACAAAAGGCATGTTATCCAGGATACGTACTTCGCTGTGTAAAAGCTATATGTATTATAATCATGCCTTCACAACAAGCTATATCATTATTCAGAATGCATAGACGTTTTGTATTTTCATTACAGGCTTTATTTTTCAGTGCTGTTGGAGTATCTTTAATTATTAGTTGTTGGATCAACAATTCAGATTGTTCTCATTTCTGTAAAATCCAGTGGTATTCCAGTACGCACTAAGCACCAAAAATCCTAAGCTAATTAGCTAGTCTTACCAAAGCCCGTCATGTGTTCCTTCTTGCTTTGCATTAGGAGGGAAAGAAGAACATGGGAGGGGGGAAGGGGCACAGCAGGAAGAATTTTTGTATTCCTCCAGTGATGAAGATAAGACAGTATAAGGCACGTTTTGCTTCTATTGGTAGCTGGATTGACATTAATACCATATTTCAAAGATCTGTTATAATTCATAGAATCATATTAATATGTTTCTGGTTACTCTGACAGAGAACAAAATGTACTATAGCAGGATAAACATTCCATAAGATTATGTACTTCATTCATTATATTATCTTGTTGTATGAGCTTTAAGAATTTCATATGATGTATACTGCCAGTAGGACTTGTGTTTTAGTTTGAAATCTTACGAGTTGAGTAATGAGTCCTTATTGCTTTAAAAGGTAATTTTGGGAATTTTAGCGTACTTTTATAAAATACTGAAAAAAAACACCAACCAACCAAAAACTACAAAAAAAAAAAAAAACCAAACCCATGCACTGACAAATAATTTCTTTATCTATTTCTCTGTGTGATTTACTATAGCAGCTCAAAATAATGCCTGATTTCTGATCTCATCCCCTGAGGAATCACTGATTTGAATCGGATGCCTGTGTATCACAAACCTGTAGATTTCATACAGAGTCAGCACTTTCCAAGTTGCACTGCCTTTGTGCTCTTGGTTTGCCTTGAATTTTTGTTTACAGAATTTCAGGTTAGGATACTAGTTGTTTGAACTGTGCTACCCTTTATTTATCAATCTTTCTGTCTCCATGTCCTTTACAAATGCCTTTTGTAGTCATTAGTTTTACCTTTAAATAACTGTTCAAAGTAGTTAATAGTGTGGGTCCTAGTGACAGCCCTGTAAAGCCTTTAGTAGTACAGGTGTGCTGTGGTTTAAGCCCAGCGGGCAGCTCAGCCCGCACAGCCGCTTGCTCACTGTCCCCTGCAGCGGGATGGGAAAGAGAATCGGAAGGGTAAAAGCGCAAAAAACTCATGGGTTGAGATAAAGACAGTTTAACAGGTAAAGCAGTAACTGCACGCACAAGCGGAGCAAAACAAGGAATTCATTCACTACTTCCCATCGACAGGCAGATGTCCAGCTATCTCCAGGAAAGCAGGGCTCCGTCATGCATAATAGTTACTTGGGAAGACAAACACCGTAACTCGAAATGTCCTCCCTTCTTCCTTCTTTCCCCAGCCTTTATTGCTGAGCACAACATCATGTGGTATGGGGTATGCCTTTGGTCAGCTGGGGTCAGCTCTCCCAGTCCCCTCCCAACTCCTCCTGCACCATCAGCCTCCTGGCTGTGATGCTGTGTAAGCACTGTTCAGCAAGAGCTAAAACATCAGTCTGTTATCAGCAGTGTTTTGGTCACAAATCCAAAGCATGGCACCATATTGAGCTACTAGGAAGAAAATTAACTCTATCCCAGCCAAAACCAGTACGATATGTTTTAAGTCCTAGTTAAGAACTCATTGTTCACATCTGCCAATTAGCCAGTTCTTAATTCATTTAGTATTGTTTGTTGATATTGCATGATGCTAATTTAAAAAACTAGTTTGTGTCAAATATCAGCAAAAATAAAGTGGATTCATTTAGGGTTCTCAGAATTATTTGTAGTCTACCTTTAAAAACTACTTAAAAAGAACATTTTCAATAAAAAATGTACTTACTTGCTGACCTAAATTGCATTATGACAATTATTAAATTCCATATCTAAGTTTAATCTCCTTGATATAACCTGTTTTGGTAGCTTAACCATGTGTAATTTGGTGGGTTGTCCTAATTCCCATTTTTGAGTATTATGTTAGCTTTGTGGCTCTTCCACTCTTTTTTTAATGGAAGTGTTACAATATAACACTCTCTGTGGTTCAGCTTTCTCCTGCCAGTGTTGTTCCCATGTACTTAGAGTGAAATAATGATGAGAAAGTGATGTTTCTTTCTTGGAGAAGCAGAAGTTTGTCTCAGTCTTTATTCTTGTATGAATTAAGTGATCGTATTGTACTGACCTTATGTTCAACTTTATAGGTTATCTGTTTCTTGTTCCTGGAGACAGTAATGAAACTTGTTCAGTAAAAATGTCTTGTCCATTAGCGCTCAGAAAAAAGCAGTTTCGTTAATGTTTTATTACTTACAGGAGGATTGCAGGGGGGTGCGTGTTTGTGTTTTCCTAACATATGCTCTCCAAATCAATAAAATATTGTAGAGAAAGTAACGTTCCTGACATTGTCAGGGCTGTTTTAGCAAGGAAGATCCTAAACTGTCAAAGCTTCAGCTTGGGCTTTTAAGGGAGCAGGAGGTTAGCTCTGTGTAAGATCACCGAGAGCACTAATGTCCTATTTCAGCTCTGGAGTCCTCAGCACAAGAACGACATGGAGCTGCTGGAGCGGGTCCAGAGGAGGGCCACGAAGATGATACGAGGGCTGGAGCACCCCTGCTATGAAGACAGGCTGAGAGAGTTGGGGCTGTTCAGCCTGGAGAAGAGAAGGCTCCGGGGTGATCTTATAGCAGCCTTCCAGTACTTAAAGGGGGCCTACAGGAAAGCTGGAGAGGGACTTTTTACAAGGGTGTGTAGTGATAGGACAGGGAGAAATGGATTTAAACTGAAAGAGGGCAGATTTACATTAGATATAAGGAAGAAATTTTTCACTCAGAGGGTGGTGAGGTACTGCCACAGGTTGCCCAGAGAAGTTGTAGATGCCCCATCCCTGGAAGTGTTCAAGGTCAGGTTGGATGAGGCTTTGGGCAGCCTGGTGTAGTGGAGGGTTTCCCTGCCAATGGCAGGGGGCTTGAAACTAGATGATCTTTGAGGTCCCTTCCAACTCTAACCATTCTATGACTCTATCATAGACCGAGAGAATGAGAGCAGCAACCATGACAGGGAGACTGACTAGGAACCAGAAACGTTGGGACATCTGTGATTACCAGGGATAGAAGAGTGTCAGGAGTCTGTAGAAGGTACCTAATACAGGAAAATTCTTCTCAAGTAGTGTGAGGAGTTCAGACCAGAACTGTTTGTGAGGAGAGCCTTAGCCACACTGTGGCACAGCTGGAAGTGGTCAGGAGCATCGAGAAGACTTTTTGGTTGTTGTTTTTTTTATTGTTGTGGTTTTTTTGTGTGTGTTTTTTTGTTGTTGTTGTTTAATAGGAAAACTCTTTATTCATTACAAATAAAGTTTCTGCATAAGCATCTCAACCAAACCTGCAGTGAAGAATGTAACTCCTGTTCAAAATGAGATAATGAGCAGTGGTTTGATGAGTTTCAGTAGATTATGTACAGCCATGGCCTCCTTTGTGCCAGCTGTCTTCTTGAGGCTGTACATAGAGTCCAATTTGGAAGTCAATCAAGCTGAAAGCTGTCTGTTTTCCTCCTCTGGATTAATGTTCAGCTGGATCAATTCCCTGACCTGCCAGGCTTGAGTGGAGACCACATAAGCATTGAGGCTGGAACAAGAAGGCAGGTGGGGGAAGGTTTCCATAACTTTTTATACCAGCATATGGGTTTAGGTTGATTTAAGTCATTTGTGGGACTGCATCCTGAACATACAGGGAGATCAGTATAGTGATTTATTCAGTAATAATTAAAATTTACGTAGCTAGAAGGCTTCAATAAAAAATCACGAGAAGCACAGCTAAGTGCCTAAAGGACTGTCTTAAAAATGAGATCTGAGTTTTAGTTTGTGTTTTATGAATGTTCATTGAATTATTGGCAGGATGGAAAGAGAATGGTAAAAGCTAACATTAGCCAAGTGGGGTTAACCTCCACCTGCAGCTTCTCCATGGACGGAGAGAGAGTCTGCTGAAGGCTAGTAGAACAGAGCTTTTGTGGACTGCTGTGGGAAACGTTGCATTCTCTTTCATCTGTTGGTTTGTGACTTACTTGTGCTGGGATTTAGTTGCACAAGCTAAACTTGAGCATTTGGTGCAATAACACTGTGTATGTATATATGTTTTTTTTTTTTTTTCCAGGTCAGGAAGGCCAACTGATTGCAAAGCCTTTCCCAGGATGTTGTTAGTGCTTCGCAGTGCTTTCACTACAGTGCTTTCAGACTCTTTTTTTTGTCTATCAGTAGGTCTCCTGGCCTGATGTCGAGCTCTCTCTTCTCTCTCTTGACAGAGAAGTGAAAATGTTGCAAAAACGTGAGATGAAATTAGGAGAAGTAGCTGGGAAAATGGTTGTTAAAAAGGCTTCTGGTTTGTGTTGCAGTTCTCTGGTTGCCTAAAATTATAAACAAAACGCAAGTGTGGACTGTAATGATTTGTGCCTTGTGTGCAGTTTTTGTTCTGCTGCCAAGTGCCTTCTGAAATCTCTCATCCATGTTGTGTTCTTTTTTGGTAGGAACTCGATAAAGAGCTTCCAGTGTTAAAACCTTACTTTGTTCAAAACCCGGAACTTGCTGGGAAGACAGGAACTGGTATGCGAGTCACATGGTTGGGACATGCCTCAGTTATGGTGGAAATGGATGAACTTATATTTCTTACTGACCCAATCTTCAGTCAGCGAGCTTCGCCTACTCAGCTGATGGGTCCTAAGCGCTTCCGAGGACCTCCATGCACAGTAGAGCAGCTCCCCAAAGTAGATGCAGTCATGATCAGCCACACCCATTATGATCACTTGGACTACAACACTGTAACGAGTTTAAACGAACGCTTCGGGAGTGAGCTGCGCTGGTTCGTGCCTCTCGGGCTCTTGGACTGGATGCAGAGATGTGGTTGTGAGAATGTGATTGAACTGGATTGGTGGGAAGAGAACTGCGTCCCTGGTCACGATGCGGTCACTTTTGTCTTCACCCCTTCTCAACATTGGTGCAAAAGGACTGCGACAGATGATAACAAGGTTCTTTGGGGCAGCTGGTCTGTCTTGGGACCTTGGAATAGGTTTTTCTTTTCAGGCGATACTGGATATTGTGTTGCTTTTGAACAGATAGGTAAAAGGTTTGGACCTTTTGATCTTGCAGCCATCCCCATTGGAGCTTATGAGCCAAGGTATGAAAATCAAAGTTTGATCGAAGTACATCATTTAAATTATGTACTGATGACAAAAAAATACTCCCAAAGTGAAAACTGTAGGTATACTTTATTAAGAATATACAATAGAATATAGAGGCAAAAGAAGGAAATTGCTGAGGCAAAAGGGCATTGCTGAATGACCAAAAAAAAAAAAAGCAGGCAATCAGAGGATGGGGCTGAAATGTCTAGGATGCTTGCCTGTGTATGTGTGATGTTCTTGTAGAGTTTTTTCGTAAGCACAGCAAGGATGAATCAGCTGACTTTCTTCCATGAAAAAAGTTGAGTAAAAATCTGGAATTACTTTGTGGCTTTTTTTCTGAAAGAGCACCACTTAATCCAGCCCATTTAGATGCATGCAATTTGATGCATTTTTCTTTTGCTTGCAGCTTATCCAGAGATAAAGATGACTCCTTTGTAGAGTGTGAAAGATCTGTTTGTTCAGGCATCTGTATCCTACTTTTTTTTCCTACTTTACTGGAAGCAAAGCATGTATAGGCTGGGAAAGGAAGATGGGTATCACAGTAACATGGTAAAAATCAAGTATCTGTCAAGAATTGCCAGATTCTCTCTTCTGCTTTACCACCGTCCCCTTAGGCTATCTGCTGAAGCACACGCTTTTTAAGGTGTGCTGCTAGCATGAAATTTTTTTAGGGATGGATTTTAATCTATGGCCTTAATGCCTCAAGGCACCAGTAATATGTTCTTATACTATTAAAAACATAGATAAGAAAAAAGGAGGGTGAAATACTTGAACTGCTGTTTTGTGAGCATGTTGGTGTATTCCAGCTTGTTGATTTTGAGTGTTCTGTATGTTGCTCAGACACAGATGCTCCATAATTTTTTTTATTAGGTGAGCACACTCTTTTTTTTTTTTTTTAGATTCTTTGCAATTTACTCGACAAAAGTAAAGAAGAAATCTTGCACTAAATTAGTGACACAAAAAAAATGTATTTTGTGTTTTGGTAGGTGGTTTATGAAATACCAGCATGTGGATCCTGAAGAAGCAGTAAGAATCCATATTGATGTTCAAGCAAAGAAGTCTGTAGCGATTCATTGGGGGACCTTTGCTTTAGCAAATGAGGTAAATTTCAACGCTATCCATGAGTTTTAGATTTCCCAAGTACACAGTCATTGATGAAGCTTTGCTCTTACAGTTTAACCTATGTATGTGTAAATGTATACTCTAACATGGTATGAGTGAAAAGGTGTTACTATATGTACTGCAGCTAAAAACAATGCTTAGCTTTCACAACCAATTACATAAAAATATTTCCACGGTTAAAATTAAATTGAAAGTATAGAGTTATTGAAACAAACGTGGAGGATTTCTGATATCCGAAAGCTGAGGAACACGAAAGGTGGGGACGTGTGCAATAATAAAAGTAAACTCTGCAGTGCATCCCTTGGAGACAGCAAGAGTTGCATGCCTGTAAGGTCAATGCAGTGTTTATTAATCCCGTCTGTCTAGTAAATAAATTGAATGGTATTTTAAATTATTAATTCATAGTTAAATACCAACAAGAATATGAAAAACTGAGTTACTCTGAGTTGCTGATTTTTTTTATTATTTTTTTTTGTCCACTCCCACCCTCCCAAGTCCCCAGTTGTAATAAGGAGCTTACCTAGGCACTTGAACAGTGACTAAAAATGCAGTGAAAGGGAAGTATCTACTTTGATACACCTTGTCTGGTAGCTGTTTTTCAACTTTGCATCAGTTGCACTGCTTTATCTTATAACCCAGTCCTGATGCTGCTAGCTCTGTTCACCTGATACGTCAAGTTTTCTTTAACTTGCACGTAACGCTTTCAATCCCTAATGCTTCCAATAAGCTGTGTCACTAGCACCCGTGGCACAAATGCCACTGTGTATTCAGAAGCACCAAAAAATGGATGATTTCTCCCTGATGATACCTGTTCCGAAATGTGACCAATGTAATGAAGTAACTTTAGGAGGACCTCATTGAAACGGCACTAGTTTTTAACCGGTGAAGCTGACGACTTTTGTGTTACTAAACGAGAGGAAGCGCCATCTGGTGACGTGCGCGCCCCTCCTCCCCCGTGCTGGCAGTCAGGGATCACCGTTCCGCTGCTTCTCGGAGATCTAGCTCAGTACGTTGAAGACGACTGACTTCTGCATGATAGGTTGTGCCTTGCTAGTTACTCTACAACTGCAAGTCAGCATTCTTATCATTTAAAAACTGAAGGTGAAAACAAATATTTTAGTTGGATTAATATATCCCCTCCCCCTTTTTAGATAACTTAGCAAGAAATGGTTTACTTTTTATCTTAGAGCAGTGATACTCTATTTTGTTTTTTTCCCCAAATGCTGCAGTGGTATATTTTCCCTCATGTTATTCTGATTTTTCCAGTATTACTTGGATCCTCCAGTTAAACTGAATGAAGCTCTTGAAAGATATGGCTTGAAAAACGAAGACTTCTTTGTCTTAAACCATGGAGAGTCACGGGACTTGAGTACAAATGACGCATTTGAGTAACGAAACGGTAGCAGTTCCTTGTGAGCCTCGTTTGATTTGACCTAGCAATTAATATTACAATTATTGATACGATGTACTTACTAAGTAGATTTTTTTGGAGTGAATTGGGTTTTTAGATACCAGGTTTGTCAGTTTCAGAACTAAAACTTGCATACCGATTTCATGATAAATTTTACTAATTATATTGCTTATAAATTTTGAGAGGTGATCTAAAAACTGGTTAATATATAAGGTATTGCTTGGGAATAACTTGCAGTTTCAACTCTTACCTATACCACTGATGAATTACTGGGTTTTTTAAAACCCTTCATCTTACCTGCAACAGCAATAATAACCTCAGCACAGGACATATTCTTAGAATTAATGGTTGACTTGAATTAGTCATTGTAAGAATGTCATCTCCACTGGTTAGTCATTAATCTTCAGGTTATGCCCTGTACCTTGATAGTTTCACTGTATGTTTTGTGGGGTGGAGTCTTCCAATACAGCTCTGTTGTTAAAGGACAAGCACAGTAAAATAATTATTTTACTGAATGCTTCTACATATTCATGTATTGATGAACCACAAAAGCTGAATTTTACAATGATGTAAAGCAATGTGCCTTTTAAAGAGAGAGATAATTTAGTATTGCATCACTGATGTGTGAAACTTACTGCTGGCCAGAGTATCTGCACACTTTCATTGTTTTGTCAATATTTTTAAGTAGGCCTGAATGTGTCTAAAATAACTTTCTTGTCAAATGCAGTACATGAAATAGAAGAATCCCTTAATGGTGCTTGTCTTTGCATTGACTCAGCCTATTAAGTTGGGTTTTGTTTTTGTGTTGGTTTTTTTTAAAGTGAAAAGTCTGAAGCAAGGGCTGTGGTATTTTTTCTTATAGCTTCCCTATAATTTTAAAGTTGAGTGAGAGATTACAATGTTCAGTATTGTAAAACTCGGCTAAATATATCTGTATCAAATTGCTATGCTAATTGACGGAATTAAAGATTATTGTTGCCAATAAAAAGGGTTGTTATTCTCCTTCATAATTCATTGGCAAATCTTTTTTTTTGTGTTCATAATTTGTTTTGGTCTATGGGATATTCTCTCGCTGTGCATTATGTTTTATGTTCATATTCCATGAAGGTAAATAAAAAACCCCCACATTATTTCCCTGCAATTTAAAGATATGAACTTCTGGCAACTAATTAAAACCAGTTAATGAGATTCCTGCTAGGAGCAAACTGAAAACGTCTTTTAACTGTTGACAGTTGTCTTCTAAAAATTTATATCAGGAAGTCCTAGAAGTCTGACAGATCTTAATACCAACACAGAACAGCACAAGAAGGCTAAGATCAGTTAGTCCAAGTTCATGCTGAGGAAGGGTTCTGGAACAGAGGATTACACTTACATGTAAGGAAAAGCAGCTTACGTTCCTTTGGTGGCATTCATATTTGACAAACGTCAAGATTTCTTTATTTGAAAAAATAATTCTAGTATGGTCTAGATGTGTTCACCAGAACGTGTTCAGAACTGATTTAAAAGTCATGCAGTGTTGATTTTTGGAGGATACGTCAGCTGAAGTCTCTGTTGGGCCTCGTATTTACACAATAGCTTCCGTAATGATTTGGATAATATAATGAGTATTTCATGTTTGTAACATGGTGAAGGACACCAAGCTGCAGGATATTTTGAGTGCTTTGAAGGACATGATTAAAATTGAAGTTGTGAGGGTTTTTTGGGGTTGGTTTTTTTTTTTAGAGATTTCAAAATCATCAAGACTATTCTGTAAAATTCTGTACTCTGGAAAGAAAGAATGAAACTAAAATACGGAATACCTAGATAAGCAGCCACGTACCAGAGGAGTACTAACTTACAAGGACCAGAGACTAAATGTCAGTAATGGCATACATTCTGGTTTGGATCTATTAATTCACACCATTTGTATGTAGAACGGTGACTGTTCTGCTCTGCTTGGTGCTGATAAGATTCCATCTGGAATGTGGGATAAAAAAATTAGACACACTTGTGTGAAGACACTTTGGAGAGTCTTGCATGATTTCAAAACATCCCAATAGCATCGTTCTATGAGGAAAGCATTTAAAAATAGGTCTTTCTAGACCAGAAATGCAAGACTGAGACAACACTGTAGCAAGTTTTCATGTAGTTTTAGAAAAGGGGACGATGGTCACTTGCTTCTGTCAGCTATCAAAGCAAAGGATAAGAGATCAACTTTAATTATCAAAAAGATGATGTTTGAAAAACTTATTTTTAGGTTGGAGAACGTGGAGAAGGACATCTAGACATCTCCATTGCTGACCTTAAGAAAACATACATATATCAGCTAGACCTAGAATAGACTAGTCCAAGTTCTTAATGTCAGTAGAGAAAGGTGGGATTGGTAAATTCTTAGTGTCTGACCTAGCCTTTATTTTGCTTTGTTAAATACAGAAGCAGAAAAAAATTAAATCTACAAAAAATGGCAAAACATTAAGTGATGGTAATGTAATTTGTTTATTACAAAATTAATAGTGGTTTTGGAGCACTGGGAAGGAGAAAGGTAAATTCACTGTCAATGCAGCGATTGTCAGGGTTCTGACTGGGAACTTCTATTTCTGCCTTAATTGTATTCCTGATGAGTTAAAACTACCTTTGTAGATAAATTAGATACATGTAGCTTTATGCCTGAATTGATTAGGGCATAGACATACTGTATTTTCAAGGTCACATTTTTCTTGCAGTTTTGGCTACTTGCAAAGTTGTCTACTAAAATAAATATCTATTGGATTACAGAAAGATGAGAGAGTAATATTTTATTAAGAACCGAGGGGGTGTATCAACATTTTCTAAGATTTGGCTCTACTCATTTAGTAGTAGAGATCAGATTAAGAAAATGTAAATGCCTAATCTCCAATTCCTAAATCTTTACTGCACCATTCTGTAGAGGTATTATTCAACAGCTCTAAACATTTAAAGCAGCAAAAATTCTTTAAGAATATTTTGATTGACTTTACTCATCCATTTAAAACATTCACTGTACGTGTGAAAGTTTCCATGTTTTAAACTATTCTTCCCCCTTTGTGTATATTACAAGCTGTACAGTGGTTTCTCAGTACTAATTAAGCTATTGCTTTTATCTTGCTTGTAAAAGTCTATTATGCTCTCTACATTAAATACATTGCATTCTCTTTTGCAGCGACTGATTTGTGCCTAGTAACACAGTAGTAACCAGATAATTTTTTTGGTTGTTGGGGTGTTTTAGCATAACATTTCTTAAGATTAGGTATTTTCATCAGGTCAGTCTGTTTTTTAAAAAAATCACTATTGTGTTAAAATTCTCACAACTTGCTCTTTCACTTCTGTATCAGGGTGATGCAATAAAGATGCCAGTTTCTGAGCAAATGGGGTAGAGTCCCTGCAGAATGTAAAGAAAATTGAATCTTCACTGTATTGGTCCTGAATCATGGTGCCATCTTCATTATTCACGTTCTTTTTCAAGTTTGCAGCAAATGCCAGGGCTCTGAGCAGAATATCTCTGTTGATACAGTTGTCAAAAAGTAGCAGCAATGATGGCACCTAGGATATTCAAGAAATAATCCATACTTAATCACCAGCGGTAAGTACAGGTAACTAAATCTCCTAACTTAAAAAAAAAAAAAAGTAAAAAAAAATCTGCACCTAAACCATCTAAAACAGAAACCCTATGAAATAACAGAATTCCATATGCTGGGAAAGCATGCCAAAACTTGCACAGCGTGCACATTTCCTCTTTAGAAAAGACTGGCTTGTGCATCACAGGCTAATAAATGCTTTGTACTTTCAATCTCCAAAACGTGGCTGTCTGGAAAATTCCCATTTAGAAGAGAGGGTCTGCCTTCCTTCTCAATAATATTTCTTTTGCCCTCTGCAGTGATCTGAATGTTTTTACGTTAACGCATCTGATAAACAAGAAAAGGATACAGTTTTAACAGAGAACTGAATATATAGCTACCCTAATCTTGTTTTAATAATGACAAGCTGGTGCTATCTCGACTAGCTTCGCTCATGGCAGCTAGCTCAAAAGTAAAAGCCAATGCGTGTTTTAAGAAACATACTTTGGGAAGGGGGAGGAGGATTCATAGATTTCTAGGTTGGAAA